ACGGGGGGCTCGTGCCTCGGGGATGCCCCCATCTCCCCCCCAGCCCTGGCCTTTCCTGGCTGTGATGCTGGCAGCCTCAGCCTCAACCTCTTCCTCTGCCCAAGTGCTCCTTGGTGGGGTGTGGCTGGGGAGGCTCTGGCAGAACCCCTGTGGTTGGCCCGGGAAGGCTGCGTCCGTGGATGCGCCCTGTCCCCCGCAATGCCCCCCTCCCAGGCATGTAAGCCTGGCCTTGTTTTGCATACAGGTCACAGGGGCATTCCTGGCTTCTTCGCCATTTGCCTCCTTTGCGACCCTGGTGGCTGCCCTGGTGGAGATGGAATCTGGATAGGCTGGCATTGGAGCCACTTTTCCTGGCAGGAGCTGCCTGCCCGGCCTGAAAGGATCAACAGCATCGTGCACATCTGCTGCTGAATGACGCAAGGGAGCGCAGAGGGGTTCTGTGGGGAGGGGTTCTGTGGGGACGGTCGTGCCTCCTCGCTGCAGACCAGAGTACGAAGGGAGCCAGAAGCACGGAAGTGGGGAGGATGGAGGCTTCCTTTCCCCCCACATCAGAGGCTGGAGGTGGGCAGTGGGAGGGGGTTGGTGAACAGCTGCCTCTTTGGAGGCCCCCAGCCCGGAGCGCCAACGAGCAGGGCCAACCTCCTTGAAGCCCCAGCAGCCAGTGGGAGCTTTCCTTTGGCTGGGCTGCGAAGGTCTGGCTCTGTGGCCCTTCTGGGGCTGAGCAAGCATCTCCCTTTCTCCCAGCCCCCAGGAACCGTCCATGGGTCTGACTGATGTTTTCTGTGGCCTATGGTGGGCTGCACAATGTATGTTGGTTGACATTCTTGCTGAGCCGTGCCGTCCTCTTTGGCGGCTCTGTCCCGCTGCTATTCATGCAGCACCCAGCCTGGCCTTCTGTCCCCCGGTTCTAGGAGGAAATGGAGTGCCTCTGCTCGTCCAGGCCTCAGGCTGGTTCCCTGCCGGTAGGCCTTGGGCACCCCTGGGCAGACCCAGCTGTTGTGTGCCCATTGCTCCAGCAAGGGAGTCTGCAAAGGAGGAGGCCACTGGGGTGGGGAGCCTGAGTCAGCCCTCTGCTTGGCACTTTTCTCCAGGCAACATTGCCCCCATACCTGGCACCATCCCAGAGAATGCCGCCCCCCCCCCCCCTCCACAGTACCCGTCTC